ACATAGAGTTGACTTTTGCAAACAATAAAGAAGGGAATGTTTATAAGGTACTAATCTCAGGGTAGTGTGTATAATAAGGTCTAAATGTATAATTTATAATTACCAAAGTGTCATAAATGAAGGACTCAATGACAGTTCTTAATGTGTATTATAAGTGTGAACATTCTAATTGTTTTGACAAATAAGCCAAGGGGTTTAGCACCCGTGACACAGTTCCCCCCCTTGTGGAGGAAGGGCATAGCAATTTTCTGGAGATATCAAGGACTGTGTCCCCAGTGCAAGTCAAGGCTTTGGAGATACCAGGAGCATAATCAAGACAGATTCTTCAGTGTTAAACTTGGAAGAAAACCTTAACTTAGGATTGGGATAGACTGTTAGTAGATGAACTCTCTGGAAGACAGTAGAGCTGATGAAGGAGGAATACTAAAGACTGGATTCCCCTGACTTTGAACCTGGTCTCTTGGGAACAGAGAATCTATGGGAAAAATTTTCTTTTTGTACAGCTTGTGTCCGATGGGGAAATGATATCCTCAGAGGTGGGTGTAACCAGAGGGAAATGTGCCTAATGAGCAGGTATAGGGAATTGTATATATATCCCTTCTGCTGCTGTCACTCAGAGTGTGCCAACTTGTCTAGATAAGACATGTTTGTTTCTTTTGGAGTCCCAAGTCTGGCTCAGGGACTGATGCTTGACTCCTTCCTGCTCTTCTGTTTAGGAAGAGAATTTGTCTCCATCATCAACCATTCAGTCAGGAATTCATTTTTCTGCATGGAAACCTTCCTCTCAGAGATCCCATCGAGGTCAGTCAGAGAGCCCAACAGGTAATACAGGAAAGATGTAGATAATGTTAGTTGAGAACCTTTATCTGAGGTCACCTGAGAGCCAAACCAGGCTAGTTCAGTGACAGATTGCAAGTCCCAAGGTTGTTTGCTTTCTTGATTAGTTAATTAATTAATGCATTTATTTATGATGCTAAAAGGGAATTGTCTATTGAACTCAGCATCACAGGATCACTGTTTACATTGAAATAAATGTTATGGAGGCACAATTAGAAGGAGGAACAGGAGGAATAAAATGGTTTCAGTAAAAGTAAAGCATGTTTCCAAGGACCTTTGCAATTAGGGGGAGTGGAAAATACTGCTTTAGCTGTGGAGGGATATGCAGTCAAGTGAGGGCATTTCATTTTTATTTGTAAGATGGGGCATATTTGGCTTTTTTGTTTGTTTGGGGAGGTGTTTGGGGCCTTTATTTTTATTTATTTATTTTTTATTGGTTATGAATATTAATGAAATACAAAGCTGATTGTCACGCCTCATGCCCAAGACATGAAGGCCAGATCCATACTGGCAGCATACACCTTACCACAAATTGTGTCTGTAACCCATGTCCCCCCCCTTCCCCTCCCCCATTCTCCCCCACTCCACTTTGTATCCCAAGGTATGTTCTCTCAATGGGGCATATTTGAGTGTGTTTCCATATTGATGAGAAACATCCAAATCAATAAATTGTTTGCTCGTACAACCTTGTAATAGCATTCCATGAGACATACATTTTACTGTATCTTTTCTTCTGTTAATTATTCAGATAACATAAAATACTTATTAGGTGAAAAGGGGCATATTAAGAAGCTCTACTTTGCAGTAATTTCCTCACTCATGCAGCAGAATATATTTGTGTTGGTTAGACCAGTGATGCTGCTGAACATTCCACCATGCAGAGCACAGACTCCACTGCAAATAGTGACCTGGTCCAGAATGTCAGTAGTGCTGAGATGGAGAAATCCTGTGATAAAGAATATCTGTATTTTTCGTATTTTGTCCATCTTGAGATCATTTCCCCAAGATGTTATAATACTCACTTCTGCCAGCAATATTAGAGAGTACATCTTTGCTCTCTGTTTAAAAATTTCAACAAAAATCAGTGCAACAGCTTTTAAAATTTTTTTTTCCAAGATGATGAGTATGAAAGAGGTTTCTTGTTATTTTATAAAAAATATCCTGACTTTGAACAAATATGGAAATATTCATGTATTGGCTCTCATATATCTAGATTTTGATTTACTTATGTTTATTATGTGTCCATATGTATATAGTTATCAGCATTTCAAATGATTTCAACCAATTATTCTTTTTGAATTGACTTCTGGGGGGCTATAAAATATTACATCTTATTTAGTTAAATATGTCTATCTTCTTATTTTTGCATTTTTTTGCCTTAGTTGACATCATTTACCCATTCACAGATTTTATGTGTAGTTTTCCTAACCTTAATCTAAAATGAATTGTTTACTTTTACATTGAGGTTTTAATCTCTCTGGGTTTTGTTGTTGTTGTTGTTGTTGTTACTTGTGTGATAGAGAAACAACTGTGTTTCTTCCAGATACATAGCCATGTATGCGAGCTTTTATTTTAAACTTTAACTTTTTCAACTAAATTAAAATATAAACACCTTATATTAAATGTCCATATATAAAGAGACCTAATTCTTGGTTCATGTAACAAATAATTACTGAGTATCTGCTACATGTCAGAACATTATCTGAACATTATATATTCTTCAGTATGTAAGTTTTTGCCAATTTAGCTCTTAATCCATGTTAATATTAAACTAATGTTATTTTATATCTTGTTCTGATTAATGTTTGATGATCCATCAATTTTGTTTCCTGCAGATGTTTTGAAGGTGCTATATTTAACTTGGTTTTATTCCCCTGTTGTTTTGTTTGTTTGTTTTATTTCATAACTTGTCTGTTTCTTCAAATTTGTTTCTTCTTAATGCATCCATATTCACATACCTTTTTAAAATACAAAGGTGAATATACAAGGTAGCATCCCTGCTGACTTGGATCTTGCCTTATAGTGGAGAAAACAGAATATAATGAAGTAAATAGAAATAAATATCTGTATCAGGTAATGTCCTCAGGGATAAATCATTTCAAGAATGCTTTTCATTGTAAAATAATACAATTGTCATGATGTGTGCAGGATTTTATATGCTCTGGGAGGCCTTTGCATGTTGGGTGAGAAACAAAACCAGAACTAGAGTGTGCTCATTGGATTTGTCAAAAAAGAGATCAAAATTCAAAGCCCACAAGTAGCAAACAATGAATACCACACAAGAAACACAAGGAAAGTGAGAAATGGGCCTGCCTCATTTGCCCTCAGATTTTATAACAATAAATTAGTCAAATGAACATGGAACAGGCACAAGTCTTTATTGTTACATATAAAAAAGCCAAAATTTTGCTGTTGTTTTCATATTTCCTTTAATAAATTGTTAATTTTTTCTCCTTGCTCCATTTTTTAAATTGGGGTTTAAATCTGTGTGTGTTCTGTTACCAAGAAGATATTATTAAAATTGTCTTTTGGAGACCAGCCAACCATCAAAAAATAAATAAAATAAAATAAAATAAAATTAGAAAATAATAATAAAATAAAATAAATAATAAAATTGTGGATAACTTTCCTTTTTTAGTTTTGAAAAGTAAACAAAGATTTTAGTAATCATTGAAACCAACACAATTAAAAACTCTTCCTAAATTAAAGAACTTGAAGGGACTATATAACAATGTCAGAATTCTTTATTTTTGATCTTTTATTATATTTGCTGGGCATCAAAGAGATGTAATGGGAGTTGAAATATCACCAGAACTAAGGAAGCTTTTCTTTCCTTGCAGTCTCTCAGGAGCCACCTGAGCTTATTAGACTCATTCCACCTCAGGTCCATTTAACTGCTCTCACTCTGCTTATTGAACAGATTGTATTAAACACACACATAAACACACACACACACACACACACACACACACACGGCAGACGATGGCCATATAAAAAAGAGGCCCAAGTGTACAGGTACATAGGGAACATATGAACTGGGATTTCTGGGTACCAATTTTGTACTCTTTAGGGAAAAACAATCTGATATTGATAGTTCACCTTATATTCATTCCTTTCTAATAGTTGGCTGTGGGTGTCTACATGTGGGTATGTCTACATGGCCCCAGGAGGCCCAGTGTGCTGCATGTGGATAGGGGATGTGTGTGTGTGTGTGTGTGTGTGTGTGTGTGTGTGTGTGTGTGTGTGGGGGGGTGACAGCAGGTTTCAGATAAAGGGGAAGTAAGCTCATTATATTCCAAAAGGAAACTTATAATGCAGAGGCCAGAACATAAGGCAACAGATAGAAATAAAGGGGAGATGCATTTCAACTCACAGAGCACCTTTGCAGTCAACTTACCAAACTAAAGCTGCAAGAACATCTGGACAGAGGGACTCCTTTTGTCCTGAAGTTTCAGCAGCAATGAGGCCACCTCATTCTTCACCATTCTCTCACACCATCTCTCATCGCTCTCTTCCTGATCACTCCCCTGCCACACTGGCTTCCTTGTTTCCCTTGAATACCTGGAACGAGCACCTTCCCCAAGGTCTTTGCACTGTCTGTGCCTCCTGCCAGGTACACACTTCCACAGATGACCATGGGGCTCCTGTCCTGTCCTCCTTAAGATCTTTGTTCAGATGTCATCTTGATTGCAGTCTTCACTAACCACCAGTTAAAAAAAATAATACACCTCATCCATTCTCTCCTTTTTACTTGTTTTGTTATTCTTCCAAACACCTGCCACCAACTGACATGTTTTATGATTTTTTATTTACTTATTTTTGATCTCTGTTATTACATTGTAGGGACTTTTGCTTTTCACATCTCTGCCCTCACTGTCTAGACAGTGCCTGAAAGATGGTCAACATTCAACTTCTATTCCTCTAATGCATGAAAGAATTTCTCATTGTAATTGTAGAATTCATGATATCTCCAGGAACGTCTGAGAGTGGGAAGGATTTCCTTATCAGAGATGGCAGGATGATCCCCTAATGCGAACTACCATCATGCACAAAATATAAAAATGATTTCTTGACTTTAAAATATAAATGATAACATTTCTGAAAGATTAGTAATGCATTCCTGTGACTTGTCCTCCCCCTCCCCCATTAGTTATGTCACCCACATGGAATCTGGGAATTATACAAGAATTTCAGAATTTCTTCTAATGGGATTTTCAGAGGAACCTGCACTGCAGCCCTTCCTCTTTGGGCTGTTCCTGTCCATGTATCTGATCACTGTGCTTGGGAACCTGCTCATCATCCTGGCCATCATCTCAGACTCCCACCTCCACACACCCATGTACTTCTTCCTCTCCAACCTGTCCTTCGTAGACATCTGTTTCACCTCCACCACAGTTCCAAAACTGCTGCTGAACATCAAGACACACAGCAAAGTCATCATCTATGAAGACTGTGTCACCCAGATGCACTTTTTCCTATTCTTTGCAGGGTTGGACAATTTTCTCCTGACTGTGATGGCATATGACAGGTTTGTGGCCATCTGTCACCCCCTGCACTACACGGTCATTATGAAACCCTGGCTCTGTGGACTACTGGTTCTGGTGTCCTGGATCATCAGTGCCCTGAACTCCTTGTTACATAGCTTAATGGTGTTACGGCTGTCCTTCTGTATGCACTTGGAAATCCCCCACTTTTTCTGTGAACTTCGTGAGGTGGTCCACCTTGCCTGCTCTGACACATTTTCTAATGACATGGTGATGTATTTTTCATCTGTGCTGCTGGGTGGTGGTCCCCTCACTGGTATCGTTTACTCTTATTGTAAGATAGTTTCCTCCATACGTGGAATCTCATCAGCTCAGGGGAAGTATAAAGCATTTTCCACCTGTGCATCTCACCTCTCAGTTGTCTCCTTATTTTATGGTACAAGCCTAGGAGTGTACTTTAGTTCTGCTGCCACCCCAAATTCACGCTTAAGTGCAACAGCCTCAGTGATGTACAGCATGGTTACACCCATGCTGAACCCCTTCATCTACAGTCTGAGAAATAAGGACATAAAGGGAGCTCTGAAAAGATATTTGGGATGGAAACTATAAAAGCACCATTTTCCAAGAAGTATCCATGATTGCAGGGCTCTAAGCTTCAGAGCAAGTAACTGTAATTACTTAATCAGATATGAAACTAAAACTTTCTCCTTATATTTCTTTCTGGGAGTTTCAAAAAGTTTTATTAACTGCTTTGTAGAATTTAAGCAGTTCCCTTTTTTTAAGCTTTCTGCCCTCTCTGATACAACAGTTCTTTTCCCTTTGTCACTTTCCTACTTTCTCAAAGTTATTCCCAAATTTGTATCAGAAACAATTTGGAGGTTCCATTTTGTCTCATATAGTGATAAGCTGTACTCATCCTATGAAATAAACTACACCTGGCAACTGAGGCCATTTATATAACTTTATAGTAGAGGCCCATCTGAGATCACAGTTTTTCACTTTTGTATCCTTTCTCTATCTTTACCTTAACTGCTCTTTCTGCTAATGTGTACTTAACATAGGGTGTTTTACAGTTTGTCATGGGAATTTATTCTCCTTGTGATTTGAGGTCTCAAGTTATTACTCATGATCCTGATTCTTATTCAGCTCTGTGTCTGCAGTGCCTATTGTATTCCTAGCACAGTGTAGATAAGCAAAAATTGCTTATATATACATGTTCCAAGTGTTGTAGGCAAGTTTTAATATATTGATTGACTTAATACAGCCTTAGAGTCAGTGATGCCCTTAAATATGATGGGATAAATTTTTCAATCACTCTTTGAATGACTATGGAGAGTTGGTTTTTGGTGGTGTACATCTAGTCATTGAAATGTGGAGGCTTAATATCCAGGTGTAAGTTGATTCATTGGGATGAGGGATTTGTCCTGTTCCATATATTTCATTGGATCATCTTTCTGGTTCGGTTTAAAATTGTTCAGTGCTACCAATAAATATGAGTCCTTTCATTGCCATAAACAAAATACCTGCCCCTTTAAAAATTTCTGTCATAAACATTAAAGTACAAGAGAGTGAATAACATATACATTATTCTATCATCAATTTCATTATCTTATTTATGCTCTAAATTCTCTTAAATTCTCATGATCAAAGGACAGTTTACAAAAGACCTTGAATTTCTGCACAGTTATGCATCTGGAAAGGGTGATTTGTTATCCAAGGTCACAAATTGCTCCTGCAAAAATATATGTGTCCTTCCAACCTCTCCTGATTGCTTAGAAGTGAATCTCAGTGGTAGTCTCTTTTTAGTACAGTTATCTGAAACAAACTTGAATGTCCACTTCATCATGAATGCTGCCTCAAATATCAGAACAAAGGTCAAAAATATGAAGATGCAGATAATTCTCCATGTCCTCAGTTCTGTTTGCTTTGGTTATGTATCAGTAAGCTATTGCTGTGTAACAAGCCATCCCCAAATTTAAAAAGGCTCATGATAACACTCTATTTTTTTTTACATGGGATTCTATGTCAGAGAACTCTTCTGGTCTCTTCTCTCTCCTCATGAGTCTGTGGTCAGCTGTGAGTCAGCTGGAGGAGATCTGCTAATCTTGGCTGGGTTCTCTCACATTTGGGGGTTTGCTGGCTTCAGGCTGCTCCAGGGTGGCATGCCTGGGACACCTGGGCTCTGCTCTTCATGTCCTCTCTTCCAACAGCAGGCTGTCCTGGATTTGTTCACAAGGCAGAAGCAGGTTTACAAGAGAGAGCAGAAGAAACATGCCAACGCCTCTTGTGGGACAATCCCACATTCATATTCTTTTGGCCAATGCGAATAAAGAAAACTTAAGTGCATCACCTCAAATGGTTACTTTTTTTTTTTGGTGGCAAGATCACCCAAATTCTACTCTCTTAGCAAATTTACAGTATTCAGTACAATATAATTAAGTGTCCTCATTCTGTACATTAGATATCTAGACTTACCCATCCTACATAACTGCAACTGAGTAACTTCTACCTACTCCCCTGATTCCTTGCACCCCCATTCCTGCCCCTGGTAACCACGATTCTACTTTTTGTTTTTTATGTATTTGACTTTTTTAGATTCCACATATAAGTGAGATCATGCAGTATTTTTACTTCTGTGTCTGGCTTAGTTCATAAACATAATATCATCCAGGTTCATCCACGTTGGCCATAAAGGAAGATCTTCCTTTTTAATGCTGAATAAAATTACATTGCATATAGATATAACAAAATTTATCTATCGTTTCATCCATCCATGCACACTTTGCTTATTTATGTATCTTGCATACCGTGAAGAACATGAAATGGTCATGGGAGCACAGATATCGCTACAATGTGCTGATTTCATTTATGTTGGGTATACACCCAGAAGAGGGATTGCTGGATTCTATGGTAGTTCTATTTTAAACTTTTTGAAGAACTTTCATGCTGTTTCCCATAATAGTTGTTCCAATTTACATTTCCACTAGGATTATACATGGGTTCTCTTTTCCTCACACCCAGGACAATACTTGATGTCTCATCATTTTCATAGGTCATCCTTTTAAGTGTAAGATGATATCTCATTGTGGTTTCACTTTGCATTTCCCTTCTGATTTGTGGTGATTAGCATTTTTTTTCATGTACCTATCAGCAATTTCTATGTCTTCCTTTGAGAAATGTCTATTTGGGTTATTTGCCCATCTTAAAGTCAGATTATTTGTTCTCTTGCTATTGGTTGCTTGAGTTCCTTATATATTTTCATTAACCCCATTAAAATATGTATGGTTTGCAATATTTCCTCCCATGGCTTAAGTTATCCCTTTACTGTGTTGATCATTGTCTGGGCTGTGCAAAAAGCTTTTTAGTAGCTTGATGTAATCCCACTTATCTATTTTTTGCTTTTGTTGCCTGCCTGTGCTTTAGGGTTTATATCCAGGATGTCATTTCCCAGACCAATGTCATGGAGGTTTTACCCTATGTTTTCTTCTAGGAGTTTTGCAGTTTCAAGCCCTATGTTGAAGTCCTTAATCTGTTTTGAGTTGATTTTTGCATGTTGTTTGAGATAAGAATCTAATTTCATTCCTCTGCAAGTGGACATCCAGTTTTCCTAACATGATTGATTGAAGAGACTGTTTTTTCCCAATTGTGTGTTCTTGGCATCTTTGTCGAAAATCAATTAACAACAAATTCATGGGTTTATTTCTGGGCATGCAAATACTGTCTTGCCACAGCAGTTCATGACGCATAAACATTCTGTAATATCTTCTCTTAGGTTGGCTCTTAACATCAAAAAATAAATTTTATTTAATAGGCCAAAGTTGAATACTAAAGAGTTTAACTTTGCAAATATTTTATTACTGTACTGAATATATTTGTGGGTTTATAAGCCATTTGTGGGTTTCTCTATTCAAAATCATTGTGCATGTTCTTCTGTTTTATATACTGGGGAATGTGGGTGTTTACTCTTTTTATTTCAACAAAGTATTGAAATTTTTTCACCAATGATGAATTTTGCCATTTAATTATCTTATGTGTGGATGGATATATGTAGGAGGAATGTATGACATTTTATAAATTTTTTATGGTCAAGTCTATAAGCAGGTCATATTGCCTATCCCCCACCACTGATTTTTTTAATTTTTTGTTTTGTTTTTGTTGGTTATGAATATTCATGGGGTATGATTTTTTAACTTTGAAAGTTTTTCTGTATCATCAAGAGAAATAAATCACCTTTTATACCTGTTGCCCTCCTACTTCATGTTTTTCCTTATTTCTACCTTTTTGGCTTTCTGACTGTGTTACATCTCTCCCTGTGTAACAGAGACATAAAAAAGATTACTCAAAGCAACACAAATGCAATCAGAAGCCTGAAAGGCCTGCCCCTCAGCAACTCCTCTGTTAGAAGGAGAAACTAGGTACAGCCCCAAGTCAGTTTTTGCTTCAGTTTTTATTGTAAAGATAAGGAAATTACAGGAAAGGAACAGATGGTTAATCAATCATGGTAAGAACATAAAGAACTTGCCTATGTAACAATCTTTATCCAAGCATTCATAGTTCAAAATAGTTTAAACAATATACCATCAAAACAGTCAAAAATCTAAGCTATGTGACATGCAAAAAAAAATAATAGGATTATCATTAAAGTGCCTGACTTCTTAAGAAACTCAAAAAAAAACCAGCTCAAAGCAAAATGTGGAACAACCCCCATGCACCAACTAATCTAGCAGAATGTCCTTGGAAACCTTAACTGACATATTTTCTCATCATTTAGGTTTTATTGTATTAAGGGTTATTGCCCTTAGAACAACCCTTGTTTTGTTTCAGTTCTCTTGTTCACATTAAAGGCTTTAGACCTGTTTAAGTTTCCTTCTCACAAAATCTTCCAGTGAACCCATTATATTAACAATCAGTGTATACAATCTCTTACCTAAACAGTGATTAGAGTTGATTTGCTGGGCTCTTTCCCGCTAGCTGTAGGCTCTTCCTCCTATAAGAGGACTTTTGTCCCATACATGCATTACCTAAAAACCCTATCTAATAATCAAATAGGAATCAAAATTTCTAACCCTCTACATGAATGCATCTATATTTTTAAATGTCGCCTGCCATCTTATGTTATGCTTTCTTTTGCTTTCAAGCTAAGATTACCTATACCATTTTTATAAGCATATTTTAATCCATTTATGTTTACATAGCATGAAATTATAATTTTACATACCACTTCCCTTGGTGCTTCCAAAAAAGTATATTTTTATATTATTTTATTTCCAAGTCTGCTAAATCAATCTTGAAGTAGTGACTCATATCAATGTCAATAAATGGTCACTGTCTTTATTTCAGAAGTTACATTAAGATTTAAATTTACTTTCTGTGCCTAGCTTATTTCACTTAATATGATTAAAGTTATAAACATATAAATAAAAGAAAGAAAGATACAACATTCCGGGCCGAGCCCGTCGTGCACTCGGGAGAGTGTGGCACTGGGAGCACAGCGACGCTCCCGCTGCGGGTTCAGATCCTATATAGGAATGGCCGGTGCACTCACTGGTTGAGCGTGGTGTGGGTGACACCACACCAAGGGTTGTGATCCCCTTACCGGTCACGAAAAA